TGCAGCAGCAGCAGCAGCAGCAGCAGCAGCAGCAGCAGCAGCAGCAGCAGCAGCAGCAGCAGCAGCAGCAGCAGCAGCAGCAGCTTACGCGCATGCAGCGTCATTGTTCTCTTCTGGGCGATAAGTTTTGCTGCAGCCTTTATTGACGCATTTGTGGCAGCCCTCAGGAGACACCTGCAACACAGAAGCAACCAGACTTGCTGCTGCTGCTGCTGCTGCTGCTGCTGCTGCTGCTGCTGCTGCTGCTGCTGCTGTCGTCGTTGCTGTTGCTGAGGGTGCTGGTGCTGCTCCTGCTGCTGTCGGCGCTGCTGTTGTTGTTGCTGCTGTTGCTGCTGCTATTGCTGCTGCTGCTCTTGCTGCTGCTGCTGCTGCTCTTGCTGCTGCTGCTGCTGCTCTTGCTGCTGCTGCTGTTTCTAACGGACCCATGGCACCTCTGCCTGCAGCGCAGCAAGATAAGCAGCAGCAAAGCGAAGCAGCAGCATGAAGCAGCAGCAGCACGAAGCAGCAGCAGCAGCAGCAGCAAATAGGACAACAGTCGCAGCAGATAAAGGGGCCTTCTCTACGAACCTGCTGCTGCTGCTGCTGCTTCTGCTGTTCCTGCTGCAGCTTCTGCTGCTCCTGCTGCCTATTAAACTCCTCAATGCTGCGAGTGGGCTCTGCTGCAGCGGGCTGGGTTGATGCTGCTGCTGCTGCTGCTGCTGCTGCTGCAGCAGACGGCCGCTGCTGCGGCGCCTCTTCGCTGTGGGGCCCCACAGCGCAGCCTGGGGACAGGACATAAGCAGCAAACACCCACAGCTGCTGCTGCTGCTGCTGCTGCTGCTGCTGCTTGCTGCATTAACTGTGTTGCAGCAGCACTAGCTGCAACCTGCTGCTGCTGCTGCAACGGCAAATTGCAACGGCTGCTGCCTTCGCCCATTCTGCTTCTGCTGCTGCTGCTGCTGCTGCTGCTGCTGCTGCTGCTGCTGCTGCTGCTGCTGCTGCTGCTACCTTGTAGCTTCATAAAGGCATCCCAGTCCCAAGCCTCCTGGCCGCAGCAAGGCCACTGCTTGACTCCGTCGTGAAAGACAGGCATCAGCTGCAGCAGCAGCAGCAGCAGCAGCAGCAGCAAATGGAGCAGCAGCAGCAAATGCAACATATGAGCAGCAAATGCAGCAGCCGCTGCATCAACAGCAGCAGAGATACCATCATTGCAGCAGCAGCAGCAGCAGCAGCAGATAAGCCACCAATGCAGCAGCAGAAGTAGCAGCAGCGCAGGCGAGAAAGCAGCCAGCAGCAACACCAGAGGCAGCACCCGACCCAGCTACGTGCTGTGCTGCTGCTGCAGCAGCAGCAGCAGCAGCACAGCACGTAGCAGCAGCAGCAGCAGCAGCAGCAGCAGCAGCAGCATCTCACCTTGTGATGCCTGCAAGAGTCTTCCTTGTTGCTGCTGGGGTCGAAGGCCTGGCCACAGCCAGGCCTCCGGCACTTGTGGCTGCTGCAGTGCGCCATCATGCAGCAGCAGCAGCAGCAGCAGCAGCAGCAGCAGCAGCAGCAGCAGCAGCAGGGAGAGCTAGGAGCAGCACGAGCAGCCGGGCAGGAAGCTGCAGCAACGCGGGGTGTAGGTTCTGCACTGCTGGCGGGGATCAATGAGATCTAAACCCCAAACCCTCACCATAAACCCTAGACCCTAGACCCTAAACCCTAAACCCTAAACCCTAAACCCTAAACCCTCGCTGCGCCAGTTAGCGGCTACGAGCGTCTAGGGTTTCGACTGCAGGTTTTCTATGCTTCTTGAATTCTGAAAGAAGTGTAGCTGTGTCTGTTGCTGCTGCTGTTCTGCTGCAGCTGCTGCAGCAGCAGCACCTGCTGCTGCTGCTGCAGTGGAGGGGGCCCCCAGGGGCTGCTGCAGCAGCAGCAGTTGGTCGTGGGGGGCCCCCAATAGAAATTAGGGTTTAGCGATTAGGGTTTAGGGTTTAGGGTTTTCTTTTTTATTTTTTCTCAAAAAGCCTTCAGCGGTTACGGTTTACATCTACTATTTGCTGCAGCAGCAGCGCGTCGGAGTCTTCACTGCTCTTCGCGCTGCAGCAGCAGCAGCAGCAGCAGCGGTAGAAGCAGCAGCAGCAGCAGCAGCAGCAGCAGAAGAGAAAGAAAGAGTAGCAATCCTGACAGAGAGGGTGGGGGGCTCTTCTCTGCCTCGCTACTACCACCGCAGCAGCAGCAGCAGCAACTCCGACAGCTGCAGCTGCAGCAGCAACTGCAGCAGCTGCTGCAGCAGCAGCTGCTGCTGCTGCAACAGCAAGAGGGGCGCGGCCAGCAGAAACAGCAGCAGCAGCAGCAGCAGCAGCACATCCCAAAAGCTGCTTCAAGGGGCCTCCGAGGGCGGCGGTGCGGGGGCCCCAGGACAGCCAGTTTGTCCGCCGCCACAGCAACAGCAGCAGCAGCAGCAGCTCGTGCAGCAGCAACAGCAGCAGCAGCAGCAGCAGCAGGAGTAGCAGGAACAGCTGCGGTTATACTGACAGCAGCAAAAATAAGTGTAGCAAAGCGCGTACGAACAATCGCAGCAGAGGAACCCGCGGGACCAGCAGCAGCAAAAGCAGCAGCAGCAGCAGCAATTAACAGCAGCAGCAGCAGCAGCAATTAACAGCAGCAGCAGCAGCAAATAGTCGCAGCAGCAGCAGGGAGCACTGCACAATAATGGAGCGGCCTGCAGCTGCTGCTCCGTGGCAGCAGGACGCAGACGATGCCTCCCAGCCTCAGCAGCAGCAGCCGCAGCAGCAGCAGCCTCAGCAGCAGCAGCAGCAGCAGCAGCAGCAGCAGCAGCAGCAGCAGCACCGGCACTGGGGCCCCTTCCACCGCAGCAGAGACACCGAAGAACCCTCTGCTGTTGTTTGGAGCGAAAGGCTGCAGCAAAAGCTCGAAGGCATCGACAGCGCCCTCGCCATTGCCACGGTGCTGCTGCTGCTGCTGCTGCTGCTGCTGCTGCTGCTGCTGCTGCTGTTGCTGCTGCTGCTGCTGCTGCTGTTGCTGCTGCTGTTGTTGTTGCGTGCGGACGGTGCTGCCGTGTTTGGTGCTGCTGCTGCTGGTGCTTTTGCTGCGAACCGAGAGTGGACGGCCTGTGTACTGCTGCTGCTGCTGCTGCTGCTGCACTGCTGCAGCAGCAGCTGCTGCTGCTGCTGCACTTCTGCAGTGCTGCTGCGCTGCTTTGCAGAGCTGCCGCCGCCGCGTTGCTGCTGCAGCTGTTTCGGTGCAGCAGCTGCATTTCCGCCGCTGCGCTGCTGCTGCAGCCGCCTCTGCTGCTGCTGCTGCTGCACTGCTGCTGCTGCTGCTGCTGCTGCTGCTGCTGCTGCGCAGGTCTGCAGGGGCGCGCTGCTGCTGAAGTGGTGCAAAGGGAGTTTTGCCAAACCCCACAAAAGACAATTTTTAGTTGAAGAGGAAACCCTAGCGCTTCGCTGGCGCTCTCCCAACAAACCTCCGAGCCAAACCACCAGTAAACCCTAAACCCTAAACCCTAAACCCTAAACCCTAGAGTGCGGGCCCTCGGCTCGGAGTGCTGCGCAGCTTCTTGCTCCAGGCAGCAGCACGCGCAGCGGCGCGCCAGTGTCTCTGCCTAGGGTTTAGGGTTTGGCTTTTAGCTTTTAGGGTTTAGGGTTTAGGGTTTAGGGTTTAGGGTTTAGGGTTTGTGGGTCCTTGCAGTTTTCCTAGATAGCGTTTTGCGCATCACCCCGGGAGAAGACTCTGACTTCTGGCGGGCAAGCTGCTGCTGCTGCTGCTGCAGCTGCTGTTGCTGCTGCTGCTGCTGCTGTTGCTGCTGCTGCTGGAGTTGCTGCTGCTGTGGCTGTTGCTGCTGCTGCTTCTGTGTGGTTCTGGCGTCTCAGCGACGCCTCAGTTGTTGCTGCTGCTTCGCAACTTGCTGCTGCTGCTGCTGCTGCACTTCTTGCTGCTGCTGCAGCTGCTGCTGCACTGTTTGCTGCTATTGCTGCGGCTGAATTGCTGCTGCTGCTGCTGCACGACTTGCTGCTGCTGCTGCACGGCTTGCTACTACTGCTACGCGGGTTGCTGCTGCTGCTGCACGACTTGCTGCTGCTGCTGCACGACTTGCTGCTGCTGCTGCTGCTGCTGCTGCTGCTGCTGCTCAGAACAAACCCGAAAGAGATGTGGCAATTGAAATCCGAGGGTCTCGCACTGTCCGCGTTGCATGCAGTTCAAGAGAGGTAAACCCTAAACCCTAAACCCTAAACCCTAAACCCTAAACCCTACGGCTCTCATGTCGGGACTCGCTGCATGCAAAGCGCTGCGTTGGGGCTTTGCAGACTAATTGCATGCAGCCTCTTTGCATGCGTTTTGCATGCAAAGTGCATGCAAAGTGCATGCAAAGTGCATGCAAAGTGCATGCATGCATTCTGCGTGCGTTTTGCATGCGTTTTGCATGCATTTTGCACCCGTTGTGCATGCGTTTTGCATGCGTTTTGCATGCATTTTGCATGCGTTTTGCATGCGTTTTGCATGCGTTTTGCATGCGTTTTGCATGCGTTTTGCGTGCATTTTGCATGCATTTTGCATGCGTTTTGCATGCATTTGCATGCGTTTGCATGCAGGACTGGGGCTTGTGGATGAAGGGCCTTTTGCTGCTGCACGAAAAAGCTTTAAAAGGAAAAAATTCTTCAAAAGCTCTTTCGGACTTAATTGCTTTGGAGTGGCAACTGGCAGAAAAAGATGCTTTTGGTGAACTTAATTGAATTTAATTAATAAATCTAATTAATTAAATTAAATTAAATTAATTAATTTAATTAATTTAATAAAATTAAATTAATTAAATTAATTCAATTCAGTTAATTTAATTAATTTAATTCAATTTGTTCTTTTATTTCGCTTTTATTCCGTTCTTTATTTTACCGAATTGCACTCGAGTGGCAACTTGCAGAAAAAGACGCATTTGGTGAATTAAATTCATTTAATTAATTTAATTTAATTTAATTTGATTTATCAATTTAATTAATTTAATTTAATTAATTTAATTTAATTAATTTAATTTAATTAATTAATTTAATTAATTAAATTTAATTAATTAAATTTATTCTGTTTTGTTTGTTTTATTTTATTCTTTTATTTCGCTTTTATCCCCGCTTTTGTTTACTTGCACTGGAGTGCCAACTTGCAGAAAAAATGCATTTAATAAATCCATTTTATTTTACTAATAATCAATTAAATGAATTTAACTAATTTAATTAATTAAATGATTAATTAATTTAATTAATTAATTTAATTAATTAAATGATTAATTAATCAATTTAATTAATTAATTAAATTAATTAATTAATCCATTTATTGGTTAATTCAGTCAAGTAATTAATTAATTAATTAACCAATTTATTTGGTTATTTATTATCAAATAAGTAAATAATTAATATGTTAATTAATCATTTATATACTAATTTATTTATCTATATATTTATTAATTCATTTATTCACCAATTCATTTGTTTATTTATTATTAATTAATTAATTAATTAATTAATCAATTAATTAATAAAATAATTAATTAATTAATCAATTAATTAATAAAGTAATCAATTTATTTATTTATTTATTTATTTATTTATTTATTTATTTATTTATTTATTTATTTATTTATTTATTTATTTATTTATTTATTT